GGGACGGTCCACAGGGACCTGGGGGGAGGGGGGACAGGGCAGCCTGCAGAGATAATCCTGCCAGGTTTCTGCAGTCCGGGCAGCGGGCAGTGGTGCGTCACAATGGAAGAAGCATCTCTTCAGCTGCAGTGGGCGCCGAGGTTTGAGAGCCGTTTAGTCTGTCTCCCAGTGCCAAGAGCAAAGGCTCTCTCTTCTCCGTTGCCCCAGGGTATCTTCAGTAGCTTTTAACCTGATTAAATTTATAATATCTGATTTATTTCCTCTTTCCTCATTTTTTTTTCCTTAACTGGCTGTAGGTAATAACCATCTTCTTGTCTACTAAGAAAGCGTGTATTTTGGGGAATGGTGCTAGTCTCTGAAGTAAAATTCTGCAGGTCTCAATAATGCGTTTTTTAGGCCAGTCACACTGGACTTGGACTATATGAGACTTTCCTTTCTCTGCCATGTGACTGAGCACTGGTTGACTAGGATCACGGCAGCTAATTTGTATATTTTGCATCTTTTGCAATGAGTTTCTATGCAACGGTTATATTTTCATACAACAGTTCTTAAATGATAAGCTTATGAAGAGCCCTTCATCCGTTCCTCTGTGCATCAGGTAGCTGTTGTGCAAGCAAGTCCTCTCTAAGAGAGAGAATTTGTAGCCAAGAGGTTTTCAGTCCCCTGAAGTGCATCGAGTCGTTTTCTAGCCCTTTAAAGCACTGTACGTGAGCATATTACAAAAGAAACACAAAGTATTGCATTTTTGAACAGTTCCACTCTATCAAATCCATTATCCTCATCTTTGAGTGTTTTTTTTTTTTTAAGGAAAAACAGTGAGTTTCCTATGGCTTGTAGAAACTTCCAGAATTTGGGGTCTTTATCCCAGCAGAAGACCTGCTTCTTACTCCGTGCTTCGCGCATACTGTGATTAGCGGGGCCGGGACTGAGGAGCCTTGCCCCCTTGCCGCAGAGCGTCCCTCTCGCTGGCAGCGTTCCTCTGTGCGATCCAGGCGTCCAGGCAGGCTCGGAGCTGGTCTGGAGCAGGGCGCGGGAGGGAGAGCCCGCGGCCCGTGGCTGTTGCAGGCGGCCCACTCGGCTTCGCCCCCCTCTCTGCTGTGGAAGCAGAGGCATGCTGACTGCTTTGCCTCGGGAGGTTGAACGGCTCTGTACTTCTGAATGGCCGTAGGTACCGAACCTCCGATGCGTCGCTGCAGGTACTGCGAATTTCATATAAGAAGCAAGAGCCCTGAGGTGCCCTGTGAAATGGGTGGCCCCCAAGGCTTTAGACTATGAAATAATATTAAAAACATCCCTTGCATGTAGGGGAGGCCGTTAGGTTCAGAGCGGACTGCAGCTTGGAGGGATTTCCTACTGAAGTCTGCCGTGACTTGGATTTTTCTAGGCGCTTGCGGAGCTAGACAGCTATCAAGGTGATGGAGAGGATAATCAGTGTTATGAAACGATAAAGAATTTTTTTCTCCGTAATCAACACATTTTGCTTTTCTGAATGACATGCTTATTAATAGCGTTGAAGCACGCGGATCATGGTTGGGAGAGGATGGTGGGACGTACTGTTCAGTTTTGCTCCGTGTTGCTTGGCTGCTGTTTCAAGAGCAATGAAACGTCTTGGAAATTCCCCTTGTTTGCAGCTGCTGTGCCGTGGCGGATCCTGCAACCGGCGGTGCAGCCGTGGCCTCTAGCCTGGGCACGCTTCTGCCGTGAGCCAGGCCATGGACTTTGGACAAGGGTATGTCTAGACCAAAATGGGAAAGAATTGAGGGGGAGGAGGGGCCACAAGGATCTCTTAGGCAGAAGACAGTGGATTTACCTTCCACCTCCTGGAAATAGAAAATCTCTCACTAAATTTAAAATAACAGAAAAGGTAATTCATTTCAGGTTTATAAAGTTGAAACAGAGTTACATTAGAAATGTAACTAAGAGTTGGTAGTGGAATTGCATATAAAAAGCAGTTGATAATGTTTGTAACATGGAATAATGTTTGCAGTAGGAATCAGGAGATTTTGATATTCAGTCAGTTCTGCCTCTGATTTACTTTGTCAGACCCTGCCATCACTGCACCTCCATTTCTCATGCGATTAAAGGAGGACGATAAATCTGCTCTTAAACTCTTGTTAAAGGTTTTGAGATTGTGAGATTTGCAGAGAATCCCAGGATTGTGATTATTCATGTTATTATTTTACAATAAAACATTGAAAATACTACATATTATAAAATTTTCCTTTAATTAAGAAGAGAGAGTACTTTTCTAGTGAAAAGTTAATTTACATTAGGGGAAAATGTTTCACGCAGCCCAGAAGGAAATACTGAATTGCTTTGCAAGGTTTCATTAAACCCCAAACTCTCCTGGCGTCTCTGGGGATGAGACCACTTGTCCGACTCCCGGGCTGACTCGCGCTGGTGTCGCACCACTGCACGTGGAGCTGAAGTCACGGTCCGGAAGGGGCTCTGCTGTAATTTTTGTACTGAGTGCTCGAGCAGGTCTCTCGCTCCTGGCATAGGGTGTCGTGAGCGGGATTAACAAAAGGAGCGGAGAGCCGGGGTCCGGGGCCAGGCCGCCTCGGCGCTGGCGCGCAGTGCGGGAAGTCTGGGGCGAAGGAAGCGCCTACCGGCAACTGCGTAAGGGAAAGGGTTTGAAACCTTTTTTTTTTTTTTTTTTTTTTTTTAAGGAAAAACTAAAGAGTGTTTCAGTGACATGGAGAGAAGAAGGAGAAAAAGGTCCTGCGCGTGGGCTCAGACAGCCTGGAAGCGCCGGCAGCAGTCAGCAGGAGGAGAGTGTCGCCGGGATGTGCCGCTGCAAGGCCGAGATAACCCAGCTCCTCGTCTTGCCCTTGGCTGCTAGGGTCTGCGTGCAGGCGGAGCTCTCCTGGCGCGGGGCGCTGCACAACGCCATGCGCAGCCGTACCCCGATGGCCGAGCGGAGAAATCTGCGCTGCCGTGCTGTACGCTCGGTACGAGACACGTTTCTGGATCAGTAATCTATCATAATTTTGTTGGACAGAAGGGAGTAGCACCAGGTTTCTTTCTTCTGGAGGAGAGAGATTTTGATTAATTTTTCCCCTTCTCTTCAGGGTTAGCACTTTGCATTATATATGTTTCAAGGCAGGGAAATTGCTTGCTTGACAGCTGTGGATAAAACATGAAACTTTAGATAATGTTTTAAATTCACCAGGGACAAACCAGCTTCAATGTAATTGATAAATTAAACCGAATTCAAATATCATCTGCTGGCGTGGATCTGTACTTAGGAAACTCAGTTGCAGAGGGGAGAGGTGACTGGTATACACCTCATTTTGCGGCTAAAAATAGGGATGTCTCAAGACTGGGTGGGAGCAGGCGAGGCATGTGCTGGGCAAGCTTGCTGCGTTTCGTGTTGAAAAAGTTTGCTGCAGCTCACAGCTTGAGTAGCGGCAGGCTTGCTGTGTAAGAGGTGACGGGGAGAGAGTCCCGGTCTGAAGCGCTGAATTATGGTCTCCTGGGGTGCATGAGGCAGAGTGTTGCCAGCAGGTGGAGGGAGGTGATCCTGCCCCTCTCCTCAGCCCTGGGGAGGCCTCACCTGGAGTCCTGTGTCCAATTCTGGGCTCCCCCATACAAGAGAGACATGGCACTCCTGGAGAGAGTCCAGCGGAGGGCTACCAAGATGATTAGGGGACTGGAGCACCTCTCCTCTGAAGAAAGACTGCAAGAGCTGGGCCTGTTCAGCCTGGAGAAGAGAAGATTGAGAGGCGATCTGATCAATGTGTAGAAGTATCTGAAGGGGGAGTGTCAAGAGGATGAGGCCAGCCTCTTCTCCGTGGTGCCCAGCAACAGGACAAGAGGCAACAGGCAGAAACTGAAGCACAGGAAGTTCCACCTGAACCTGAGAAAAAACTTCTTCACTGTGAGGGTGACAGAGCATTGGAGCAGGTTGCCCAGAGAGGTGGTGGAGTCTCCTTCCCTGGAGATATTCAAACCCCGTCTGGACGTGATCCTGGGCAATATGCTCTAGAGGTCCCTGCTTGAGCAGGGAGGTTGGACTAGATGATCTCCAGAGGCCCCTTCCAACCTCAACCATGCTGTGATTCTGTGATTATTTGTGACGGTGCAGTTTCTCTGGTGTGAACTTGATTTCATAATTCCCTCTTTTCCCACCTCGCTTGTTTCTCCCCCTATTTTCAGCTGTTCTGATACCTGAAGGGGGGAAAAAAAATACTCTTAGGGGAAAGGTTTTCCTGTCTGCGGGGACATGAATTCAGAACGGTCCCATCTTTCTTTTCCCGCAGCTGGTGCGCGTGGTGTGGAGGGGCGGCGT